TCTCAGCTCATTGCAGCCTCTGCCTCCTGGATTCAAATGATTCCCCTGACTCAGCTTCCCTGAGTGTGCAGATATCTGATGTCTCTCTCTCAGTGTCTTGATCTCTGCTTATGAAGACACTCATCATATTGGATTCAGGCCCACTCTAACAACCTCAGTGTATTTTAATTACCTCTGTAAAGGCCCTATTTACAAATACAGTCACATTTTGAGGTACTGAAGGTTAGGGTTTCAACATATGAATTTTGAGGGGGCACACTGGAGCCAATAAGAAGATAGTAGACAAATGTTCAGGTTTCTTTTTGTTTTTAATCATTAGGCCGTACTGAGCCATTTAGTTCATATGCTTCCCTATATCTGTTCTATGAAAGAGAGCAATTTGTAGTCTTAGTTCAGATCCAGACTTAGCCTTACTTCTCAATTATCTTTACAGTATGATGAATGAGTCATATTAATTAACAACATTTGTAGAGAACCAAGTTTGTTCAAAACACATACTTACTCAAGCATTAGAGCTAGAGCAAATATATTACTCTCTCTTTTTAAACAACTGTTACTGGAGATTTTGACAAAATCAAGATGCTGATGCAGTATTTTTGAGATGCTAATTTGTTTGTAGTTTCATATGTCTATACATAGTTACTTAAAATAAATACATCCTTTCTATGTCCTGTGTTTACTTGGTAGAAAACACGTGAGAAGAACACAATCCAAGAAGAAAAATTGTATTGTTGTATATTTATAGGTAAATTATATATATCCTTTTCTACTTATTTCTCTTTAGGCTTTGAAATGGTTTGGGGGTTGAAGAGACTTGGTGTCTGATCCTGATTTGATTATTCATAAATTGTATAGTCTTTAACAAGTAACTTCATTTCTCTGAATATCTATTTTAAAATTGTTTTGTAAAATAATTTAACACACATGATATGTTGTAATTTAATGTTATATATAATTATATGAAATAGATAATATACACACATATACATTATATAATATGTAGATATATGTATGCACATATATAAATATATAACATATTTTAACATATTATAGTCATGTATAAAAATGCATTGTGATAAAATTAGTGAAAATAAAAAGCTTATAACTCCTATTTTCCTAGTAGAATTAATAAAGCATTTTCTATTCTCCAGAAAATACTGCCTTGATATGCTAAGTAGAGAAGCAATATATTTAAGAATCATTAATCTTGATTAGCTTTATTTTCCACCAGAAAGTTGTTCAAATGACCTTACCTATGCAAATGATGCCTAATTATTTCCACTAAAGGATCTAAGTTCAATTATCTGGTATTTTGGAGTTCAGCCAGTGTGTTTTGTTCCAAATATTTCAAACCTTCAGGAACTCATTTAACGTGTCTTTTAACAAAATACCCCTTATGGCACCTAGAATTTATAGAACTGGTGATATAACTTAATTTGTAATTTACTGTGTTTTGCCTTATCAACATATCTTAATTATGGCTTCACTTTCAGCTAAATTGGTATAATCAGAGGTCCTGCCTAAAGTAGCAGTACAACTTTAAAACTAGAATACAATGAAATGAAAATCATGAACGTGACTGTCTCTAATATGATTTGGCTGTGTCCCCACCCAAATCTCATCTTGAGTTGCAGCTCCCATAATCCCCATGTGTTGTGGGAAGGACCTGATGAGAAGTAATTGAATCATGGGGGTTGATTTTTCCCATGCTGTTCTCATGACAGTGAATAAGTCTCACAAGATCTGATGATTTTATAAAGGGCAATTCCCCTGCATACACTCTCTTGCCTGCTGCCATGTAAGACATACCTTTACTCCTCCTTCACCTTCAACCATGATTGTGAGGCCTCCCCAGCCATGTGGAACTGTGAGTCCCTTAAACCTCTTTTTCTTTATAAATTACCCAGTCTTGGTATGTCTTTGTTCATAACAGGAGAATGGACTAATACGGTCTCATAAAATAAAATAAAGATACACAATTTACAAATCCAATCATATTTAATGGTTCTGGCATATTGTTGATCTTCAGCATCAGCAGTTAACACCAGGGTCTGAGCTAGGCATGGAACACTGAAGCCTTAAAAATGCATACCAGTTGTGTGGATGTTTTTAGATTTTGGACATATATGTGTTTGTGTGTGCATATGTGTACGTGTGTGTGTGTAGAGGATGGAAAACAAAAATTCCTATGTGTTAACAATAGACATTCATGGCTTTACATGCACCGTTATTAGGTATTAGTGGTATAAATAGTAACATGTTAGCCTCAGTTATGTCATATTTGAACTTGAGACAACAATAGTGCCTGCTTTTCAATCAGAATTAAGTGTGGTGTTTTTTTTTTTTTGAGACGGAGTCTCGCTCTGTCACCCAGGCTGGAGTGCAGTGGCCAGATCTCAGCTCACTGCAAGCTCCGCCTCCCGGGTTCCCGCCATTCTCCTGCCTCAGCCTCCCGAGTAGCTGGGACCACAGGCGCCGCCACCTCGCCCGGCTAATTTTTGTGTTTTTAGTAGAGACGGGGTTTCGCCGTGTTAGCCAGGATGGTCTCGATCTCCTGACCTAGTGATCCGCCCATCTCAGCCTCCCAAAGTGCTGGGATTACAGGCTTGAGCCACCGCGCCCGGCCAAGTGTGGTGTTTTAAAAAAATGTTTAGCACAGTATTTTCTACAGGAATTATTTAAATAACGTACCATGATTATTGATGTTTATCATCCTTCTTAAGATCAACTAATGCTTACCTTTATTCCATGAAGCATATCCTGAAGGAGCATAAAGTTGCTGAGCACACTTAAGAGTTCATCAAATACAAACACATAAAATATACCAGCTTCTTTAGGACCACTTGATGCCCTTAAGGATTCAAATAAAAAAAAAAAAAAAAAAACTACTGAAAATAAACAACTCTCAATTCCTTTAAGCCAATGTTTTGGCACTGGTTTTGTAAAATACAGACAATTATACTGTTGCCAACCCAATAGATAATTTTGCATAAAAATTTTGAGCCTCCTTAGTATTTCTTCTAAATCTAAGAACTGCTCAAAGATTGTATAGTAGATGCCAAAATACTTTGTAATCAGCTTTGATTTCACTCTCCTAAAAATAATGCTGTTACTGAGATTAGTAACAATGAAATGGGATTCAGGAGAAGTTGTTTCTTGCCAGATAAAAGATTACAACTAAAAGCTCTTAAATCTCTGCAATGTATTTCATGTATTTGGATTATCAATTTATACTTTCCTTTAGGAAAACACATAACACAACGTTTTTTATTTTTTTACAGAAAAATAAATCTCATCATGTCTTATTGTCATTTTGTAGCTTACTATGACAGGCAGAAGAATGTCCCAACAAAGATGTCCATTCCCTAATCCTCACAACCTTTGAGTAGGTTACACTACCAAAGGAAATTTGTGGATGCATTTCATATGCCTAGTGTTCCATTATTGGAGTGTTAAGCATATGGGAGTTATTTATATTCTACTGCTCAAGGCCGTCGCCAAGGTCGGATTTTTCACTCATGCAAAAATTCAAAAAAATTGCAACCTCAGGCATGGGTTAAGGTTGTGCACTAGGTGTAGGGAAATTATCCTGGTGGATGCAATCTAATACTAGGAGCCCTTAAAAATCCAAGAGCTTTTTTTTTTTTTTTTTTTTTAATTTTTTTTTTTTTAACTCAAACCAGAGAAGCAGGGAGTTAGAAGGAAGATCAGAGAGATATGAATCATGTGAAGGACTTGACCCATGCTGCTGGCTTTGATGATGGAGGAAGGTAAACATAAGCCATGGAATGTGGGTAGCATCTAAAAGCTTGGAGTCCTCCCTTTGCCAACAGCCAGCAAATGGAAACTTTATTCTTACAATAACATAAACTGAAGTCTGCCAACCACCTAAATAAATTTGAAAGGGATTCATCCCCAGAGCATCCAAAGAGAAGCACAGCCATAGTGACACCTTAATTTCTGCTTTGTGAAACCTAGAGCAGAGAATGAGAAAAGTTATGCTGTGCCCAGACTTCTGACCTACAAAATGTGAGACAATAATGGATGTTAGTTTAAACTGCTGAATTTGTGGTCATTTGGTATGGCAATAATAGAAAGTAAATACATTTATTTATTTCCTTTTCTGCATCCATGATGCAAATATTTATGAAGTCAGAATTTGGTAGAATAATAGGGGCTTCTGTTTACATTTTATTTATTTATTTATTTATTTATTCATTTATTTATTTTTTTTGAGATAGGGTGTATTAGTCCATTTCACACTACTATAAAATACAATCATGGCAGACAGTGAGGAGGAACAAGTATGTTCTTCACAGGATGGCAGGAAAAAGAAAGCAAGCAAAAGGGAGAAGAGCCCCTTATGAAACCATCAGATCTCGTGAGAACTCACTATCATGAGAACAGCCTAGGGGAAAGTGCCCCCATTATCCAATCACCTAGCACTAGGTCCCTCCGTTGACACATGGAATTACAGTTTAAGATGAGATTTGGGTTGGGGACAGAGCCAAGTCATATCACGGGGTCTTGCTCTGTTGCCCAGCCTGGAGTGCAGTGGTGTGGTCATGGCTCACTGTAGCCTCAGCCTTTTGGGCTGAAACAATCTTCCCACCTCAGCCTCCTGAATAGCTGGGACTAGAGATGCATGCCCCCACACCCAGATTTTTTTTTTTTTTTTAAATTTTAGAGTTGGGGCCTCACTACATTATCCTGGCAGGTCTTGAACTCTTAGGCTCAAGCGATCCTCCTGCCTCAGTCTCCAAAAATGTTGGGATTACATGCATGAGTCACCACACCCAGCCCATTTTCATTTGTAACTGCCCGTTTTTGCTTGATTTCTGGATATTGTTTAATTTTTTTCATTTTTCTAAAATACTTCATGCTTTCCACAGATATTTCTTTATTTATTATATTTATAATATTTTGGGCTAATTGGGTCTGTCAGAAATAGCATCGATCAAATCTCTATTGGAAAACATTTGCTTCATAGAAGCACTTACTTCTAAGATTCGTGTCTGTAGCCTAAGCATGGCAGACATTTGATGGTTCCCATGTCCCAAATTTTTGGTATTCATGTCCTTGTATGATCCTTTCCTTTTGATTGAAGTGAGACCTGTAGCTTCCTTACAAAAAATACAATACGATAAAGGTGATTGAATATATGTAATTACATTACATATCAGACATGACCACAGCCCCAACCAGGACCTAGATTATAGGTTTATACAAACCTCAGAAAAGGAAAGAGCTAAGCTATGTTCAAATTCCTGACCCACAGAAACTGAGTTGATAAATGTGTATTGATTTAAACTGCTAAGTTTGTGATAAGATTGCTACACAACAATAGATAGCTAATATAACGCATGTACTTTAATTAGAAGTAATGTCAGAAATGCCCCTTGCTGATACTCAAAAGCACTCAGAAGGTGACGATCAGTAGAGATATTCATTAAGACAATTAAGTAGTTCCATCATGAATTTCCAAATCAACAGAGGTGGTAGTCAAATTTTCTAAATATAATTAATATGTGGTGTATTTTTATTTTCTTAGCAGCTGAGATGCCCATTATTTTTTATTGTATATGGTTTGTTTAGTACATGCTTTAACTCTCAGCAAGTTTTAAGGAGCCTCCAGGGCCCCTTGAGCAGGTCTACCTTGAAGTTCTAGAAAGCATATCAAAGCTATCCTGCTAAATAATTCAGAGAACAGGAGAAGTGGATCCAAAGATCACTTGGAGGAAGAAATAGAAAGACCCAAAGACAGGAACTAGAAGGGCCTTGAGAAAAAAATACTTAATGAAAGATTTTTAAATAAAATTATATGTGTTTTCTATGACTTCACAAACATTCAGTAACTCCTTCAAAACTAAAGATAGGCTGGGTGTGGTGTCTCACTCCTGTAATCCCAGTATTTTGGGAGGCTGAGGCAGGCAGATCACAAGGTCAGGAGATCAAGAACATCTTGGCTAACACAGTTAAACCCCGTCTCTACTAAAAATACAAAAAATTACCTGGGTGTGGTGGTGGGCGCCTGTTATCCCAGCTACTCGGGAGGCTGAGGAAGGAGAATCGCTTGAACCCAGGAGACGGAGAGTACAGTGAGCTGAGATCGTACGACTGCACTCCTGCCTGGTAACAGAGCGAGACTCCATCTCAAAAAAATAAATAAATAAAATAAAATAGAAAAAAATAAATAAAAAATAGCAAGGTGTGGTGGCAGGTGCCTGTAATCCCAGTTACTCTGGAGGCTGGGGCAGGAGAATCGCTTGAACCTGGGAGGCAGAGGTTGCAGTGAGGCGAGATCATGCCACTGCATTCCAGCCTGTGTGTCAGAGCAACACTCTGTTTAAAAAAAAAAATATATATATATATATATATACACACACACACACACACACACACACACACACACATACATATATACACACACCACATTTAATGGCTAAAAAAAAAAAAAAAACTGAATTTTTTCCTGCTAAGGTCAGGATGGAGGAAAGGACATTCACTTGGAGGTTCTAACCAATATAGTAAGTAATATAAATGTATACACATGTATATTTATCACTAACAACAACAAATTGTTTTCAATATATTAGCTAAAATATTATATAATTGATACAAGAATTTTATCTGTAACACATTTTTAAATTTTTGTAATACAACATATATATGTTATAATATGTCGCAAAATGTATGTGTCTAACAGTTGTTTCCAAGCACTGATCAATTTTACTTCTATATTTTTCTTTCTAGTCTGAAGTAGTATAATTAGTAAAGTTATTAACTTGATATCCATTATTATGCACTTAAAAACTTTTTGAAATTGTGTGTGTGATCAATCAACCATGAGCCATTTCAATACAGATGTAAATTTCCTCGTCTTTGATTGGCTTATAGATACTGCCAAATATCTGCAGCAAAACTATTAGAAAAAGTTCAACATACACTCATGATTTATAAAAACAAAAACCAAACCCAAAACAAAAAGCATCAATCAGTAAACAGGAAATAAAAGAGAACTGTTTTACTTTTATAAAGAATATCTTACAGGTTATGGAGGGAAACACAAACACTAACATCACACTTGATAGTTACTGACTGCAAATACTTTCCCCATATAATCAGGAAAAAGGCAAAAACAGTCATTCTCTTGTTTACCTTCAATGTGTTCGGAATTTCCTGCACTTTGCAATAGGGTAAAAAATTTCTAAAAGGGCAAGAAAATTGCAAATTATAGTGAGGGAAAGCAAAAATATGTTTGTCACAATTGTCGCAAACAATTGGACAGTTTACTTGATCAAGGGCAGGAAAGAACGTTTGGAGTGATAAAAATGTTTCCTATGTTGATTAGGGTAGTGGTTATACAAATGTACGCATTTGAGAAAACTCATCAAATTGTACATCTAAACTTGGTAAATTTTATTGCATGTAAATTATACTTTATCATAGCTAATTAAAAACATAAAATTTTTCTCAACATCTTTCCCCAAAATAGAAACACAAAGCTCAACCACTCTGTTTCTGGCTAATAATGTTAATTATTTTTTCTTGTTTACTTCTAATCCCAGCTATATTTATTAACAAGTACTAAAATTACTTAGAATAGTGAAGAGTAGAGAGAATAAAATTGGTTTATATCTAACATATATAAGATATACATAATATAATATTATATATAATATATATTAGATAATATATTACTAGCTATAAGTTAATAATATATACTATATATCATTCAAGATGTATTATTGCAGTTATCACTCAATATATCATTCTATATATAAATTGGAGACATCTATATAGATATATATCTCCAATTACCTCTTAAGAGGTGTTCATTATGATTATGATACATACAGTCAGTTTAGTTATTTTGTGGTTATATAATATGCAGTTTGGGATGAAGAGTTGGGGGCTATATGATTCTTTGGTGTCTTATGTTTAAGTAAGAAGCTATTATGCCAAATAATAAAAGTGATCTGTAGAAGACTGTGATTTCAGTAAAAGCTCTCTTGGTTTTTATACCTACTTCTATTATTGAGGAGTGTCAAAGGCTTTATACAGAATTCCTATCTGCAGAGAAAATTTATGCACCACTAAAAAGGGGAACTCTGGACTAGCTCCAAATTTTTATGTATTTATTTGTTTTTATGTTGGACAGTTTTAAAGATAACACAGTAAATAAGTTATAACAGAGTCAGGAAACCATGACCCGTGAGCTGGCCATCTGTTCTTGTTAATAAAGTTTTATTGTAATATATCCATGCCCGTTTGTTTATGTATTGTTTATGACTGCTTACATACTACAATGGCAGAGTTCAGTAGTGCTGACAGAAACTGTATGCCAACAAGTTTAAAATATTTTCTCTCTGGCTAACAAAAAAACAAATGATTGACCCCTGAGTTAGACCTCAAGGTAAAATGTAGTACATAACCCCTGCAAAGAGGCCTATTATGTGATATATCTCTCTCTAAGTATTTGGTGAGGAAATGTTCTTTTTTTTTTTTCCCCACTTTGGAGAGACTATTTCAACATTGCCCACTTAGAAGGTCCTGTGAAATTTTACCACCCAGGGTCATAATTTTGCATGGCTAATGATAAATATACAATCCAATTCAGAGGCAGAGATTCTAAGACTGGATAAAGAAACAAGACCCAACTGCATGATGTCAAAAGGAGACACACTTTCGCTTCAAAGATATAAATAGATTCAAAGTAAAAGGATAGACAAATAAAAAGGATATATCTTGCAAACAGTAATAGGCTGAAGTGGCTATATTAATATCAGACAATACCGAATTTAAGACAAAAAATGATTAGAGATGAAGGACATTTATGATGATAAAACGAGCAATCTACCAAACAGGTAAAATAATTGCAAAGATATATGAACCTATCAAAATAGATGAGACAAAAACTGACAGAAATGGACAGAAAATGGACAATTCCATAATAAGAGTGAGAGATTTAAATGTCACACTTCCAAAAATTAATAAAAAAGGCAAAAGTCAACAAGAAATTGAAGAGTTGAATATCTCTATAAACCAACTAGACCTACCACTACACCCATCAACAGCAGAACATGCACACTTTTCAAGGGCAAATGAAACATTTTTCAGTACAGACCATATGCTAGAACAAAAAACAAACCTCAATAAATTTAAAAAGAAACAATACAATATGTTCTCTGATTACAGAGGAATAAAATTAGAAATCAATAACAAAAATAAATTTGGAAAACTGACAAATATGTGCAAATTAAACAACACATTCCTGAATACCACTGGGTCAAATAAGAAATCAAAAGAACAATTAAAATATACTCTGAGATGAATGAAACTGAAGATACAACACACTAAAATTAATGGTATGCATCTGTTAGCAATGGTTAGAGGTAAATTCATACTGGCAAATGCTTATTTTTATTTAAGTAATTAATTATTATTTCAACAGCTTTTGGGCTACGGGTGTTTTTATGTTACATGGATGAATTATACAGTGGTGTATTCTGAGATTTTAGTGTACCTGTCACCCAAGTAGTGTACATTGTATCTAATGTAGTTTTTATCCCTAGCCCCCTCCCATCCTACCCCTTATGAATCTCTAAAGTCCATTATATCCCTCTGTATTCCTTTGCATACTCATAGCTTAGCTTTCACTTATAAGTGAGAATATATCGTTTTTGATTTTTCACTCCTGTGTTATTTCACTTAGAATAATGGCCTCCATCTCCATCCAAGTTGCTGCAAAAGACATTTTGATCCTTTTACGTTATTTCAATTCTTTTAATGGCCAAGTAGTATTCCATGGTGTATATACCATATTTTCTTTATCCACTCATTAATCAATGGGCATTTTGGTTGATTCTACATTTTTGCAATTGTGAATTGTGCTGCTATAAACATACATGTGCAAGTGTCTTTTTTCATATAATGATTTTGTTTCCTTTGGGTAGATACCCAGTAGTGGGATTGCTAGATTGAATCTTCTAGTCCATTTCCTCTGACCTCTGGAACTTGAATAAAACACATGTTAAATTGTTAAAAATCTAGCAATTCAATCTAGCAGTCCCACTACTGGGTATCTACCCAAAGAAAAAGAAAGTTCATGGCCGGGCG